ATCTTTGTGATCTTGGATTAGGCCAAGATTTCTTGGATATGACAGCAAAAGCATAAACCAGCCATAAAAGGGAAAAAGTGGATAAATTGGAATTCATCGAAAGTAAAAACTTCTCTCTAAAAGATACTTTTAAGAGACTGAAAAGATAAGCTACAGATTGGAAAAAATATTTTCAAAACACATATCTGAGAGAATACTTATATTCAGAATATATAAATAATTAAAATTCAATAATAAGAAAACAAAAAACCCAACTAAAAATTTGGCAAAAGACTTAATAGACATTTCACCAAAGAAGGAATACAAATGCCTAACAGGCACATGAAAAGATACTCAACATCATTAGCCATTAAGGAAATAGAATTATTGACATAATTCTACATACCACTATACATACATACCACTATACATACTATATATATTTTTTTTTAAGGCTCTGTCACCTAGGTTGGAGTGCAGTGCAACAATTATAGCTCACTACAACCCTGAACTCCTGGGCCAAAGCCATCCTCCCGCCTCTGCCTCCTGATTAGCTGGGACTACAGGCACACGCCACCAGTTAATTTTTAAATATTTTTGTGTAGAGACAGGGTCTTACTATGTTGCCGAGGCCGGCCTCAATTCTTGGCCTCAAATGATCCTCCTGCCTCAGCCTCCCAAAGTGCTGGGATTACAGGCATGGGTCACCACGCCTGACCTAGAATGTCTATAATTTTAAAAACTGATAATATAAAGTGCTGGAGAGAATATAGAGAAAGTGGAACACTCAAACATTGCTGCGGGGAAGATAAAATGTTATAGCCACTGTGGTAAATCATTTGGTAGCGTCTCAAAGAGATAAACATAACACTCACAATATGATGGAAAAATTTTAATCTGCCCAAGAGAAATTGGAACATATTTCCACACAAAGACTGGTATATAAACATTCAGAGCATTATTTTATGAAAAATCACAAAAAAAATGAAACAACCCAAATGTTTCTTAATGAGTGAATGGTTAAACAATCTGTAGTACACCCACGCTATAGAATATCCCTCTGCAATACAAAAGAAAGAACTAGTGATACCCGCAACAACATGGCTGGATCTCAAGTGCATTAAGGTAACTGAAGGAAGCCAGACTCAAAAGGCTATATACTGCGTGATTCCATTTATGTGGCAGTTTAAAAAAGGTAAAACTTCTAGAGACAGAAAACCAATTAGTGGTTATGAGGGGCTAACAGTGTGTGGGATGGGAGGATGACTTTAAAATAGGGTTACCAGATTTAGCAAATAAGAGTACAGGACATTCGGTTAAATTTGAATTTCAGAAAAATAATGCTAAATTTTAGTGTAAGTAAATCCCATGCAACACAACAATTCTCAAACAGTGGCCCCAAAACCAGCACCATTAGAATCAACTGGGTACTTGTTAGAAATGCAAACTCATAGGCCCCTTTTAGACCCAATGAATCTGAAACTATAGGGGTGAAGCCCAACAATCTGTGTTTTAACAAGCCCTTCAGTTGATCTCATGCTGTGGTTTAAGAACAACTGCTCACTGTACCTGTCACCGGCAAAAAAGAACCATAAGAAGCTAATATGAAGAAAAAGTGTCCTGACAAACATTTGGGGGGGGGGGAGAAAGAGAGAGAGAAAGAGAGAAAGAGAGAAAGAGAGAAAGAGAGAAAGAAAGAAAGAAAGAAAGAAAAAGAAACAGGGACACATGAGCCTGTTCAATAAAACAATTCACCATCATGAAATATTAACTGAACAGCCAAAGGGCATATAGTAGGTTCTCTGGGAAGGGACTATAACTGTAATTCTCAACTGGGGGCAATTTTGCACCCAGGGACATCTAGATATGTCTAGAGATATTTTTGGTTGTCACAACTGGGGAGAGGTGCTACTGGCATCTAGTGGATAGAGGCTGGAGATGATGCTAAACATCGTACAAAGCACAGGATGACCCACCACCACAAAGAATTATCCGGCTCAAAATGTCGATAGTGTTGACATTGAGAAACCTGGATTATGTCTGTAATCCTAGCACTCTGGGAGGCCAAGGCAGGAGGACTGCTTGAGTTCAGAAGTTCCAGAGCAGCCTGAGCAAGAGCTAGACCTCATCTCTACTAAAAATAGAAATATTAGCCAAGCATGGTGGTACATGCCTGTAGTCCCAACTACTTGGGAGGCTGAGGTAGGAGCATCGCTTGAGCCCAGGAGTTTGAGGTTGCAGTGAGCTATGATGATGCCACTGCACTTTACCCGGGGCAACAAAGCAAGACTCTGTCTCAAAACAAAAACAAACAAAAAACCTCATCAAGTATACAGTGCAGGCAGGGCGCGGTGGCTGACACCTGTAATCCTAGCAATCTGGGAGGCCGAGGCGGGAGGATCGTTTGAGACCAGCCTGAGCAAGAGTGAGACCCCGTCTCTACTAAAAATACAAAGAAATTAGCTGGACAACTAAAAATATATAGAAAAAATTAGCCGGGCATGGTGGTGCATGCCTGTAGTCCCAGCTACTCGGGAGGCTGAGGCAGGAGGATTGCTTGAGCCCAGGAATTTGAGGTTGCTGTAAGCTAGGCTGATGCCATGGCACTCTAGGCCGGGCAAAAAAAAAAAAAAGAGTGAGACTCTGTCTCAAAAAAAAAAAAAAAAAAGTATACAGTGCAAATTGTTATTAATTTTAAAAAACAGAACAAAACATACTTTCTGACCCCAAAGCCTTTAAATCTAAGACATTTTTATAAACATGTAAATAAAAAGATTAAAAAGGTAATGACAAATGAAACATAATTCAAGGTTTCTCGTACTGAAAATACTAGAAGTATTCCAGGGAGAATTTACAGAGACCAATGATACAGAGCTAAAATGGCAATTTGCTGGTAGGAGGCACCTTTATGATGAAATATCAGGTTGCTTTTTCCAGAAGTTATATGAAAACAAATTGTAGATGACAAGTTTGAGAACCATATGCAAATTAAAATGCATCGACAGATACTATACTACCAGAAAACACACTGGGCCAGAAATCACAGAACTTCAATTCTAGTTTTGCTTTGGTACTAGGTAGCTGTGTACCAAACACAAGTCACTTCATTATCTGGGCTTCAGTCTCCTGCTCTATAAAATGAGGGGTTAGAGTCCCTAAGTCATATCTAAGACCCCTTGCAGCTTTAACATACTATGCCTATGTCTAAAAATGAGCACAAAGAAACATTAAATTTATTTTTACAGGATACAACAGGAAAGGGTATAATTATGTTCCCTTTTGGGTCGTTTTGTGTTGACTGTGGTACTTTGGGTTCTGGTGTTTAGGAGTTGCCACCGAGCTGTTTAGCTTTTCTTACTTATTTATTATAACCATATTAATAATTAACTTTCACTGCAGAAAAATTGGAATATGGAGATAAATCACTTTTTCACTAAGATTCTGACAAAATTATAGCAGGAAATATGTTAAGATGCTATGACAAAATCAAGTGAGAATAAATAAAGAAGAGATGTTGCCATATGAATTACTTGGAGAAGCCTATCAGTGAAATAAGGAAGAAGCTCAAGTTTTACAATAATAGTTACTTACATGGTATGTTGAGGTATGTGTTAAAAACTTGACAGTGAGTATTACATCACAATATTTCTGTGAAAGATGTAGAACTACCGACACTGCAACTATCAATTTTGCAGATAAGGAACAGGCTTGACAGGAAAAGTTGCAAAACTTACTTTGGTTGTAACATCATTTTAATTTTTTATTTTTGTGAAGAAATTCTGCTGTGATGAGATACTTTATTTTAAATTTTCAAATTTTTCTGACTGGTGCTTTCCTTAGTGCTGGGAAGATTGTGATGAATACTTTAGGCTGGTAATGTTGACATACAGTGTATTCTTCTGTACTGCTCATGTCATTATATAATAAACGATGCTTGGGACATCTAATTCAATCACAAAATAATCTAAACTCCACCGTGCCTTAAAAGCACTACATCCAAAGTCCATTTTTCTCTCTTTTTTTTTTTTTTTGACATGATGTGCATGTGCTGGTAATACAAAATAAATGAAATGCTGTGGTATAGCGATACAAGTGGCCCTCAAGGCACTGTCAAATTATAACAGCATCTATCACTGTGCTTTGTAGTGTGGCAAGCAGCAGTGTGAAGCAACAAGGGCAAAACATTTGGGCTCTGTCACAGCTATTCAACTCTACTGTTATAGTGGAAAAGCAGCCATAAATAATACATAAGTGAATAAATGTGGCTGTGTTCTAATGAAACTTTACTTACAGACACAGAAATTTAAATTTCATATGATTTTTGTGTGTTCCTAAATATCATTCTTCTTTGATTTTGTTTCAACTACGTAAAAATGTGAAAACCATTCTTAGCCTACAGGCCATATGAAAGCAGGTGGCAAAGCTGGATTTGTCCTACAGGCAGCCATCAGTTTCCAACCCCTGCCATGTACACATGAAGATCTTAAGATAACTACAGGCACCTCGTGCAGTCTTCAGAAGGCTTTTTTATAACCTGAATTGCATCTTCAACCATAGTATACTTAGAATGTTGTTGATGCTCATAATAATGTCTTCCTTGATCATAAGAAACAAGGTGTGTTAGTAATTTCCCAGGTATTTTCACTTCGATTTTTAATTGCAAAATAATTGTCATGCTATAAAAGAGAAAGAAAACCCACTAACCCATTCTCTGAGAACATGTATTTTAGTTAAGTATCAGATTCAGAGTAATAAAAACATAAATCTATAAATACACAACCACAGTAATTTCAAGGTTCCACATTCAGATTTTTTAAATTGAAATATACACACATATTTTCTTTTTTTAAAAAGAGGAATTAATGGGTCAAAGTAAACTTATCTAGCTTCAGGGTTAGAAGTATGATAGTCTTTATTGCCAGATGTGTCAATGTGTTTGCTTCCATCTCGGTTTTGAAGTAATTTCCTAGCAGAATTCTAGTCAATGGCATTTGACCTGAATTTCCAAAAAAGTAACTTACTTTAATGTGATGCACGCCATTCACTTTTCCAATTTGCTGCTCAATGGTCCAAACACAGGAATTGCAAGTCATACCCTCAACAGAGATGGTAACAGAATTCACACCCATACTTGGGTCCATTTTGATTTCTTCTTTACATTCCTGTTAGAAACAATAAACTTGTTTAATTTCAGCCATGGAAATAATCTTTCCTCGACTTTTCTCTCACCTCCCCAATTAAAAATGTGCTAGTAATAAAACATGATCGGTATTCTTTTCTACTTGCCTCAGAAAAAGTTTTTATCGCCTTTGATGAGGTAAAGGAAAGTTGTTTCTATGACTATGCTAACTAAAAACAAAAATTTGCAATACTTGAATAATAAAAGCAACTAGCCTTCATAAAGTACACTCCTGATATTAAACATTCTCCCACATACAATCTCATTGAATATTTGGAAGTAGACATAATTAAGAACTAAGCAAGAATACCAAAAATCCTTACAACAGCCAACAATGTCCTCCAGCCCTCACCCCCAAGTTTACCTCTTTGACCTCCCCTTTTACTGTTCACCAACCCCTCTCTCTATGCCAATTGTACTGGCTTCCTGGCTGTTCCTCTTGCCAGGATGACTCCCACCTCAGGGCCTTGGCTTTAGCTACTTCCTTGGTTTGGGACTTTCTTCCTCCAGATATCTGCTAGGCTAACCTCCTTGTCTCCTTCAAGTCTTTGCTCAAATCTAACCTTCTTAATGAGGCCTGTGTTAACCACCCTATTTAAAATTGCAGCCTAAATCCCTTCCACATAGACACACATACTCTGATTCCCCTCACCTCTGATTTCTTTTTAATGTTTTTTGTAGAATTTAGCACCTTCTAACATATTACATAATTTGCTTATTTATTGTTTATTGCTTATTGTTTGTCTTCCTGTGGTGATTTTAAAATATGGTCACAAATTCTTTGTTACTCCTGCCTTTAAGAGGTAGAATTTAACTCCTTTCCCCTTGAGTGTGGCCTGAACGTAGTCACTTGCCTCTAACAAATAGACTATGGGGGCCGGGCACAGTGGCTCACGCCTGTAATCCTAGCACGCTGGGAGGCTGAGGTGGGAGGATCACTTGAGGTCAGGAGTTCAAGACCAGCCTGAGCAAGAGTGAGACCCCGTCTCTACTAAAAATAGAAAAGTTAGCTGGGCATCATAGTCCCAGCTACTCGGGAGGCTGAGGCAGGAGGATCGCTTGAGCCCAGGAGTTTGAGGTTGCTGTGAGCTAGGCTGACACCACGGCACTCACCCGGCCAACAGAGTGAGACTCTGTGTCAAAATAAAACAAACAACAACAACAAAAAAACCAAATAGACTATGGTAGAAGTGACAAGGTGTGACTTCCAAGACTAAGTCATAAAAGGTATTGCAAGAGGAAAAAAAGGGCATTGTGACTTTCCTCTCCTGAATCACCCAATCTGGGGGATGCCACCTGTCATATATGAGGCCATCCTTATGGAGAGGTTCATGTGGCAAGGAATGGAGGCCTCATGTCAACAAACAGCAAAGACTTGAGGCCTCTTACCAATAGCCAGGTGAGTGAACAGTCTTGTAAACTGCTCCTTCAGACCCAAGTTAAGCATTTAGATGACTATAGCCCAAGCCAACATATTGACTACAAGTTCACGAGAGAACTTGAGCCAGAAAAACCCATCTAAGCCACTCCTAAACACCTCAACCACAGAAACTGTGAGATAATAAATGTTTCTTGCTTTAAGCCACTAAATTTTGGGGTGATTTGTTATATTGCAATAATTAACTAACGCACTTCCCACCAGAATGAAAACTCCATGAAGGCAGGACTCTGTTTTTTCACTGATATTAGGTTGAACCACATGAAATCACCATTGATTCATGTAAAAATAGACAAATGCTGGTAATTTCATACAGATCAACCTAATATATCCCATGGAAACAGTGGTTTCCTCTGGTGAGGGGAAAGGAGGGATAGGAGTTAAGTGTGAGAAAAAAAATTTTCAGTATATAACCTTTTGTACCTTTTACTCCAAATGGTATACAAATGATTACTGTATCACTTTAGTTTTGCTAAGCTCAGAGAAAGCTTTAACAGAAAATGCTGCTGAACCATGCCCTCTGCTACTAACAAAGCAAGATGATTAACAGACTCTTCTATTAATAACTGCTCCAATGTGTTTCTGTGAAGCTTTGAACAATTGGACCACCTAGTCTATAGTATTATGTTAGAACAGCTTGATCTAAGACATATATATTCTTTTACAAAATTGAGATATAATTCATATGCTATCAGGTATACAGTTCAGAGGTTTTTAGTAGATTCACAAGGATGTGCAACCATAATGAGTATGTAGTTGCAGAATATTTTCATTATTTCAAAAAGAAACCCTATACCCATTAGCAATCACTCCCCATTCCTCTCCACTCACAGCCCCTAGTAAACACTTCCTATCTCTATGGATTTGCCTATACTGATCTTTTTACATAAATGGATTCATTCAATATGCAGCCTTTTTATGTCTGGATTCTTTCACTTCGCATAATGTTTTCAAGGTATATCAGCGTGTAGAATGCATCAGCACTTCATTCTTTTCACTTTCTTAATGGCCTCTGTTGAACCACAAAAGCTTTTAATTTTTATAAATCCAATTTATCTATTTTTTTCTTCTGTTGCTTGGCTTGTGTTTTTGGTGTCATATCTAAGAAACCATTGTCATATCCAAGGTTATGAAGATTTACTCTTACGTTTTCTTCTAAGAGTTTTCATAGTTTTGGCTCTTATATTTAGGTTTTTAATCCATTTTAATTGTTATAGGTGGTATATGGTAAGGATCCAATGTATATTCTTTTATGTGTGGATGTCCAGTTCTCCCAGCACCATTTTTTAAACAGCGTTATTGAGATACAGTTCACATACCTTATAACTTGTGCATTTAAAGCATAGAATTCAATAGTGTTAGCATATTCACAGACTTGTGCAACCATCACCACAGTCAATTTTAGAACATTTTCATCACCCCCCAAAAACAAACACTTTAGCTATCACTCACCACCTCCTTAGCCCACCACCTTCAGTCCTAGGCAACCACTAATCCACTTTCTATCTATATAGATTTTCTTTTTCTGGACATTTCATATGAGTGGAATCATATAATATGTGGTCTTTTGTGATTTGCTTCTTTCATGTAGTATATTTTCAATGTTCTTCCATGTTATAGCACATATCAGTACATCATTCCTTTTTATGATTGAATGATATACCATTGTATGGATAGACCATATTTTGCTTACACATTGTTCAGATGATGAACATTTGGGTTGTTTCGACCTTTTGACTATTATAAATAATGCTGCTATAAATATTTATGTACAAATTTTTGTGTTTTCATTTCTCTTAGGTCTGCAGTCCCCAACCCCTGGGCTGTGGACCGGTTAGGAACCAGGCAGCACAGCAGGAGGTGAGTGGCAGGCCAGCGAGCAAAGCTTCAACTGTTTTTACAGCACTTCCCCATCGCTGGCATCACTGCATAAGCTCTGCCTCCTGTCAGATCAGCAATGGCATTAGATTCTCAGAGGAGCATGAACCCTACTGTAAACTGAGCATGCGAGGGATCTAGGTTGCGTGTTCCTCACGAGAATCTAATGCCTAACGATCTGAGGTATGGCTGAGGCAGTGATGCTAGCACTGGGGAGGGGGAGCAGCTGCGAATACAGACTATCGTTAGCAGAGAGGTTTGACTGCACAATAAATGCAATGCACTTGAATCATCCTGAGACCATCCCCGCTCCCTGGTCCATGGAAAAATTACCTCCATGAAACCAGTCCCTGGTGCCAAAAAGGTTGGGGACTTCTGTCTTGGGTAATATCTAAGAGTTGACTTGCTGGGTTGTATAATAACTCTATGTTTAATTGATTGAGGAACTGCCAGACTGTTTTCCAAAGCAGCTGTACTATTTTTATATCCCTACCAGCAGTGTATGAGGGTTCCAATTTCTCTACCTCCTCACCAATACTTGGTATTATCTGACTTTTTGATTCCAGCCATCCCAGTGGGTGTGAAGTGGTATCTCACTGTAGCTTTGATTCACATTTCCCTGATTACTAGTGATGTCAAGCATCTTTTCATGTGCTTATTGGCTATTTCTATATCTTTGAAGAAATGTCTATTCAAGTACTTTACTCATTTTTTAATAGGATCATTTTGTTGTTGAATTGCAGGAGCTGTTTATATATCTGGATATTAATCCCTTATCAGACATGATTTCCAAATACTTTCTCCTATTCAGTTCGTTATCTTTCCACTCTCTTGATAGTGTCCATTGATGTAAAAAAGTTTTAATTCTGAAGAAGTCCAATTCATCTACTTTTTCTTTTGTTGTTGCTATTCATTTTTAAAATGTAAAAATCTTAGAAAAGCTAAAAGAAAAATTCATCCCTAGCCCCACCTCTCTTGGTCTTAATATTCAAATAGCACTAATTCTGGAACAATGATAATTTATAATTTGACTTGATTTGAAATTGACTCATATCAGCCATATGTGAAAGCTGAAATAGTACAATGAACATTTGTATATTCCCATTAACTCAACAATTGTTAACATTTTGCTATATTTGCTCTATTTTTCTTAAACTATGTGAATATAAATTTACAAATCATAATACTTCAGCATGAATTTCCAAAGAATAAGAACTCGTACATAACTACAATATCATTATCACAGCTAAGAAAACCAATAATTGTGCATATAATATCTAGTCTCTATTTAAATTTTCCCAAAGGTCCCAAGAACAACCTTTATAGCTTTTATTTTTCCAATTCAGGATCCAGACAAGGTTCACAGATTGCATTTGGCTGTTAATGTCTCTTTTGCCTCATTTAATCTAGAACAGCTCCCTCCAAATATCTTTTCCTCCAGGAAGTGACTTTTGAATCCAGGTCAGTTGTCTTGACATCCATTGTATGTTCTTTTTAAAATACAAACTATTCTTTGATAGGTAGGGAGCTGATAGTTTGGATTATACCTGTTAATATCTACACAAAGTCAGTTACTGCTAGAGAACAAAAGCCCAGATAGGACTTGAAAGGAAGGTAATCAGGAGCAAAAGACACGTGGGATGAAG